AAAGGAATATCTGACAATCATATCTATACCAAATTACCAATACTGCAGGGCCTTTGATTTTATTCACTTATTAACCCCACACAAATATCACATTAATTCGTTAAACTATAGAGTAATTTAATTGCTAGAGTTGTGATTAGCCACTATTGGACTCCTCACATAATGCCTCCCATCGGACCACAAAAGCTCTCCAAAGCTATACCCTCTCTTGACACCTTCCTTGGCCTTTATAGTCACCCTAAACACCTTCTCCTCCCCGGTTTTCTTGAATTCGAGCATGTTCGGCTCCACCGAGACCCTGAAACCGGGCGGGTGGTGGATTCGCGCGGTGTACTTCCCGGGCCGGCCGACATTCTTCACCTTCCGGGCAACCGTGACAGACCCATTCACATTTGGGACCGTGATGGACGGGTTGTTGAAGTCGAGCACGCTGTAGTCGGTCGGGCAGTCATAGTGGGAGTTGGTGAATTGGGCCAGCATGGTCTGGTTGTACCCGAGCCCACAGAGAAAGTCAAGGTAGTCGTTCACCGTCAGGTCGTAGACCAGGCCAGGGTCCTGGGCGCGGTTCGGCCTGATGTGGCCCGACCCGTATGCAAACGGCGTGGCCTTTTCGTGGCTAGAATCGGAAAATGGCTCACCGGTGTTGTCACGAGTCCTCGCTGTTCATCACAATCAGTTCAATCAAAAGGTACAAAAACTAACAGAAACATAGTTTATTATGGGCAGAGTTCTTTACCGGTTGTCATGATGGCAGATCTAATTGCGGCCGGGCTCCAATCGGGATACAATGTCTTGAGCAGGCCCACAACACCCGAAACATGGGGACAAGACATGGAGGTCCCGGACATCACCGTGAAAGGTGTCCTGCGGTGGTCAAACTCCAACTCCGTCGGGCTTGTTCCCTCGGTATAGGAAGCTATTATGTCAACACCTGGTGCCGTAATATCAGGCTGGATAAAAGCAAAACAATTACTCAATTAGAGCAGAGTATTTATGAATTATTTTTCGAAAAACTAAAAAACACAATGATAAACCTTGAGGATTTCCGGGGTAATGGTGTTCGGTCCCCTGGACGAGAAGGCGGCCATAGAAGGTGCCGGTTTCGTATTCAGCAGCGCCTTTGGAGTCGTAATAAGGCCTTGCGGATACCTGAAAGCACAAAATTTGTCGACTTACATAATATAGGAAAAGTATATGAAAAACTGATGATGTCTGGCTTACTCATGAATCACATACTTGGTATTATTAATATAGGCAAAGAGAGTACGACCATCCTCATAACCGATGTGTGTGGCCGGTAGAAAATGTGGGTCAGACATGAGCTCATCTCCGTTAGGCTCGTCGTTGCAGAGAATCATCCCGACAGCGGCCGCACGTGCCGCCACCACACCCTTCTCAACTCGTGCATTTTCTCCTCTTAGGCAGACAACTATTTTGCCCCTTGCCTTTTTCGTGTCCAACGTATCCGGTTTGCATAGTAGACTGATACATAACCGATTTTGAAATAACAAATGTTAGCGTACGTCCATGTCAATTCAAAGAAACATCGAAGAGGGAAAAAGAATATCCTTACGCATCTGCTTCGGTTGCATTGGCAGCTTTAGCATCGGCCGCGTTAATAAGAGAGTAGAATTTGTTCTCCGGCA